AGGTTAGCTATTAGCTTCAGCTTACCTCAAATCTCAAGAGTAAGTGAATTTTTTAAAGAACTCTTATCCAATGTCAGTCAACATTTGCACTGGTTTCTGGTGGTCTATGACTGGTTTTACAAAGTAATCCATGCAGGCAATACTACGCTACTTGTTCTTCGCTTTAACGAGTAGCGTAGCATGTTAGCGCTGCAACTGCAGTATTCCTTAGCATAGTTACTTTTTGCAGCTTTTCTTGTTTTCATCGTACGTTAAACGATAAGTTTGATCATCAAGTTCTTTCCTTCATATGTCAAGGTTTCGTTTACTACCTGGCTTCCCAGCAATCCTTACATGCTGCTAACTTCCAGCATGAATGTTTGGGCAGGGCAGGAACCCTATACTGCAAGATCAACCTACGCTAGCTCTGTGAGTTAGCTGTTAGCTTCAACTTAACCTCAACGAGAACAAGCGCACCAGCTTCAAGCTTTGCCTGCTGACGGACATGGACTCTGACTAATCCATCTGCTTTGGAGAGTATAACAGTTCATGGTAAGAGATGCCCATCAGTGCTCCTCCAAGTCTGTTTTCCACACGCTGATCAACATGTAAAACACGCATTCACACTAATTAAGCCGAGAAGAGTCACCAGAGTAGACTTTGAAGTAAATGTCAGTGAGGAGGGGTGCTAAAGGTTGATTGGAAGTGTAAATTGGATATTGAGCTGACTTGTCTGCATTTTGGTCAGTGTGTCTGGGTGCAGTGGGGGTTATTATCGGATAAAGCCCGCCAGTCTAATAAGAGCAAGCAAATACAGGAAAATGGGTTACAAATGAGCCGCAATTACACCTCAGGGTGAAAGATAATTACGATCAATACTAACCTCAGGAAAAAGGCCCGTATAGTCTAACCTTGAACTCAGGGTGAACGCTTCTCTGCTGTGTTTGCTGGAGTCTTTTACTCTGAGATAAGTGATATTGATAATGGCAATGATTTTCATATTAGGGGAGAAAATGTTGTTTACACTGGTGCCAAGAGCAAGATAGTTAAGTTAGGGATTAGCGATCTGTTAGAGGGGAGAGAAAACGTCTACATCCTCAGTTTGGTTTTCAGACAATCTTTCTGTGTCTGTGTGTGTGTGTGTGCGTTTGGGGGGTATGAAATTATGGTGTAAAAGGACTCATGTTGACAAATCATATGGCCATCAGTCTGGGCCACCACACTCCGTGCCAAAGTCAGTCGTCCCATTAATTATAAGTGGCAGGCATCCTAACCCCGCTCCGCACACTGCCTCATTTATCCCCTCTGACCTCTTCACACAGCAGACATTTTGTTTTGGGGCTGGAGGCTTGTAATTGGTGGAGGCCACACAACGCAGACCTTAACAGGGGCCACTTTGGAGCCTCTCAGCCACCCGTCAACATCAACCTCACACAGGCTTGGCCTTGACAACACACACACTGTTCTGACGCTTAAACGTTCCTGTGTTTAGTGGGGGGGCGAGAGCGCGAATGTGGCCCGACACCTGGCATGATCCTGACTGACTGAGCACAGCCCAAAGATCCTCTCCTCAGACATGATCCACATGCACTCTGGGTAATAAACTGCTGTTCTCACGCAAGTGGATAAGTGAATGCTGTGCTGTAACATGGAAATCCAGATTTTTCCAGTTAGTAAAGCTATATCTCATGTCCTTGTGCAATTCAAGTGATGTGTTTTATGTCTCCGGTTTGTTTCGAATTAATAGACAGACTTCAACACATTAAACTCAAAGAGTTTGGGAGGAATTCAATTTCAACAGTCAGCTTGAGACAAAAAAAAAAAAGAGGAGCGGCAGCATATTGTTGGAGTAATAAAATTATGCAACTGAAGTTTTGTAACCGGCCCAGAAACCAACCAGTGGTGCTGGTTTTGTAGTTGCTGACAACGAAATAGCCACCTAAGAAAACCCAAAGGTCTCATTAACCAAAATCTCTGACAGGTTTTGATGTGGCTGCAGAATTCATCACATTAGTGGGTGTATTATACTTTTGGTTGCTTAAAACAAGCTGTTAAACTAATACTGCTGATCTATCACTTTTAAATGATGATTAGTTTGGAAACAGGTGCATATCAAGACCGAGAAATGGTGGCATCTTTGTATTTGATCCCTTGTCTCTGTTCAAATACCTTACATTTAATCTGTTTACTGATAGGTTATTGTATAGAAATGTTCCCTGAAAACCTTCTTGCTAACTGTACATGCAACCGAACAGGATTACAAAGCTCAAAAATTCAATTATATCAACATACCCAAACAAGCTGAATCACATTTCAAATATCTATAATATGAATGTCGAGATTTACTTACATGTAACAGCTGCCGTACATCGCTCATGTTGTCGGTGCACTCGAATGTTTGTAGTAAAGGAGTTTCAAATAAACAGTATCTTACTGTAAATTGTCATTCACAGTCAGGAGACAACCCGCTGTAACCAGTAATCATACAGTATGTTATTGTGTAAAAATGCTGTAAGTTGCCATAGTTATCATTTACCAACAGTGCGTTGCGATTTACTGTTAAAGCTTGTAAAATTACAAGAAGTTACTGTAAAATTTTACAGTGGAAATGACTGCAACTTGTTAGTGTAGCAAGTGTATGTTCAACTACATTATCTGCTATCACTACTAACCTTGAATCATTATTATACAACATTTCAAATCCATAACTACAGCTTAAAACTTTTCAAGACCATGCTTTGAACAATTCTGCAATGAGCAAACTTTAGTCGGATAGTTATGTGCATCTCCCTTTTGGTTAAAGGATATATAAGGAGTTTTACTTAAAATGGATCCTGCTTTGGTGCTGACAGGTTATCGAGAAAAAGTTACGTTTTGGTCAAATTTATCAAAAAAATGTTCTAAAAGACACTGATGGCTTTTTCAGTGTTTTTTGCACGAGCGCCATTGTTCCCTAACTGCTCTTCATTCACTCTTGTGTTTGTGCACGGTCCAGCGCAGTAGGTGGCAGCATGCATGTACTTGGGTTTGCAGAATGGACGGTTGAAGTCAATTGTCCGAAGAATTAGTCAATTCAGGTAAATTAGAGGTTCAGAGCTACAAGGTTTTGCCAGAGTCCGTGTCTGAAAACGGCTGCCATAATTTAATGCAGTGTCAAAATCATCATGCTTAGCAACAGAAACAAAGAATAAAGACACAAAAAATCTAGCAGGGTCACGATTTTAATGTCATATTCAGCATTTATGATGCAAAACTTTTAAAATTGGATAAAAAATGACGCGGTGCAAACAGTGGTTCCTATTCTCTGCTGTTCTGGGTTGCCATATTTTCTTTTATTAAGCATATCCATTAAAACACCTCAGTATATACCGTTTGGCACTCTGCTTCTCAGCTGTATGTTGTTACTGGCAGAGAGTGATACCTGAAGCTAGGCATGCTGGGTAGGCATTTTTCAGCACCCTTACTATTCTGAGTATAATGTCTGGCAGGCTGCCACACACAGCATTAGCAGCTTGGCAAGCTGACTGCCAACATCTGTACGTGCTCCACACAGGCTGCAGAGGTTCTGGCACCGTTACTCAACTGACAGACCAACTAACAGCTCCACATACCTCCAAACTATTCGAGGGTGGAGGGGTGGGGGTGCACTGACGGGTACGGGAGGTGTTTCACAGCCAGAAAAACATCTATCATGCAGGCGCCGCTGTGACCAAACAAATCAGCGGCGGCTAGAAAATATGATTTCACTAAGAGAGGAATGTGAGAGCTGAGGCGCGCTGCAAGGCTGCTGTATACTGTATACACTGTGCAGAAAGACGGCATGATGGGATCACTTAGAGAGACTGAAGGAGCCTGCAGCCAGTGTAAAAGACCCTTTATCAATCAAACCGATGTCAAAGTATGCCTCAACTGTTGCACCAACTCCTGCGATGCAAGTGGAAAACTGCTGCCAGATGGTAGCAACAGTGGTGAGGCGATTGTTTGTAGGCGGAGGTGAAGTCAGGTGACACAAAACTGAATTTAATAAGGGTTAAAGGTTCTGTAATGGTTTTTCAAATTAGCATCCATGTTAAAGTTCAATTAAAGGGATATTCCGGCATAAAATTAAGATAGGGTCAAACACACTGTAACACCGAGTCAGACACTCCGTCGAGAGATGAATGTTGCCGACCGCTTGCTTCTCTAGTTATACCAACTTTAGTAACGACCACAAGATAGCAATACACAGAGCCACACGCTCAACTGAAATGCCACTTCATAGTCACAAATAATGCTCAGAACAGCACCTAACTTCATCAACAGTACATATAGGGTCCCAGCCATAGTACTAGCCACCAAACATCTTTTTAGCATTGCCTAATTTCTTTAGCAAAGAGACTAAACACAACTCACCCTCTCTCTTCCAGCAGCTGCTTGTTTGTACGGAGAGCTCCAGGTGAGTCCATCGATGATAACTCATGATCATAAATGTTCTTCCTTGAGCTGCGTCCTCCCGTGGCAGTCAATGGACTCACCCAAGGTCTCCGTCCAAACAAGAGGCTGCTGGAAGAGAGTAGGTGAGTTGTGTTTAGTCTCTTTGCTAAAGAAATCAGGCAAAGTTAAAAAGATGTTTGATGGCTAGTACTGTGGCTGGGACTCTATATGTCCTGTTGATGAAGTTAGGTGTTGTTCTGAGCATTATTTGTGGCTATAGAGTGGCGTTTTGGTTGAGCTTGTGGCTCTCTGTATTGCTATCTGATATCATTACGAAAGAGCAAGCGGTTGGCAACATTCATCTCTCAACGGAGTGTCTAACTCTGTGTTACGGAGTGTTTTACCCTAACTTAATTTTACGCCTTTGAGAAAAAGTAATGTCCATAGTTAACAGATGAGTGGGTGTGTCTTCAGCTCTAGCGACTGGATGGGCCCAGAGAGTTTGTTCCGCCTTTATCTGCCATAGGTGGTAGGTGATGATGGAGGTCATTTCTTGTGCTATGCCTCCTGATGTGTGTTGTGCCTCTTGTGCTTTCTTAATGCTGTAATGCAGTGGCTTGGGTAATCTTCGTTATGTTGTTGCAAGCAGACAAACATAAATTTACATGCACGGTTGAGTCAGGCTTGTATAGAAGCTGGGTTCAGGAATTTAATCAGACTGCTGTCCTTGTCAAAGTTACTGATGAAAGCAGCAAGCAAGTTAAACCTGCAATATAAAGGGGAAAACAGAAGTACAATGGTAGACAATGAAGTTATCTTTGGTACTAAATTCAATTTCGAAAGATTTTCTCCTTCTACTTCTAAATAAAATGACTTTCCAAGCTCATGGGAGGTGTTGTTTCTGTCTGGTGAGAGTTTCCAGCGTGAGGCCTCAGCAGAGGAGAGCATGAGGAAGCAATCAGCCCATCGATGAGTGGGCCTGCGGGGATGGTGTGACCCCCTCTCCTTACTCTTCCAAAAATCCTGCTGGAGTCTGCTGGGATCTAATCAATCACTACAAGCCGGCAAAACACTCCAACATGCCATGCCTGCCCCAGATTCCTGCTAGGTTTTGTGTTTTTGTTTGTTTTTTCCCCACTGAGAGGTTAGCTCTCAAGATTCCTGGAGGAGAAGTGAGTTATCAGTGGTGCTGATCAGCTGACTATGGTGGGACAGCTTCTTTGTGGTTGGATAGGGTATTTGATTTCATATAATTTTAAAGTACATCAGCCAATAAGGGCTCTTGCCGCATGTCAAAATGAACCTTCTGTTCAAATTGAACATAATGCGTTTGGAGTCTGCATCACTTTTTCGGGAGAATGTTGCATGTCTCATCTCATGAGTATAAAGCCAATGCTCTTTCTGGCACAATCCAATTTATTGACTCTATGTAATTAAAAATGACAAGCTATAGCACCAAATGGAGCAGTAGGGAAATATTACATACAGTCGTTGTGGAACATTTTACTGCAGAATAAAAGTCATAAAAAAGACATTTTATATGACAAATTACGGAAGGGGATTAGAGACACTGGGGGGAACCAATTATTTAAACTTTTTAAAATTATTTAGAGGAAAAGTCAGAAATCTAAGATTAAGGTCAGAATTTTGAGATTAAAGTCAGATTTCAGAGAAAAAAGTCAGAATTAAAGTCAGGATTCTGAGATTTAAGACGGAATTCCTAAAAAAAAAAGTCAGAATTCTGAGATTAAAGTCAGAATTCTTAAAAAAAAGTCAGAATTCTGAAAATAAAGTCAGGATTATGAAATAAAGTCGAGATTCAGAGAAACTGAGTCAGAATTCATTTTTAAAAAAGTCCAAAATTTTGAGAAAATTTTGGAATTCTGAGACTAAAGTCAGAATTTTGAAAAAAAGACTTGTGAAAAATAAAGTCCGGATTCTGAAATAAAGTTGGAGTCAAACGAAATGAAGTCGGAATACTTAAAAAAACAAAAACAAACTCTGAATTTAAAAAAAAAAAATTGAATTTCGGATTAAAAGTCAGAATTCTGAAAAAAAGTCAAAATCTAGAGGAATACAGTCAGGATTCTGAGGGAAAAAAAGTCAGAATTCTTAATAAAAGTCTGATTTTTTAGGAAATCTCGGAATTCCAAGATTTATGTCATAATGCTGACTTTATTCTCAGAATTAATTTTTTTTTTCTCATAATAATAATAATAATAATAATAGTATATTGTGGACCTCATAAATATTTTTCCCCAGTGTCCATAATCCGCTCCAGTAACAAATAGACAGCTACAGCACTTTAACAGTGATACAAATCGTTCAGACTGCTCAGACATTATACATATGTGCCTATCTTCTCTATAAATGAATAATCCTCACATTCTCAGCAGCAGGATTACTCCCTTTGTTACGGTCCCATTTGCCCTTTTTTGAATACAGAGGTGTTAGCTGTTTGATGAAAGGGAGTCTGTCACCTTTGAGCAGCTGTTACAGAGGCACTAAACCACTCTCAAAACAACTTTACAATAAACAATAGAGCTGCTTATCACCAATCACCTGTATTGTAACAGAAAGACAAAGTCTCAACAGTGAAATCATCTTATGTATATTGGTTTAAGAGCTAAAAGATGGTACTTAACTTTTTTGTTGTTGGTGTTGTTGGAAAGAAATCAAATAAATACATGAATATGTTTAAAATCTAAAAAAATGACCATGAATTTTACTGACTAGATCTCAAACCAGATTCATTGTTTTGAGAGCTTTTATCTCGTGTTATTCAGTCTGACTTTCATGTTCACGTCAGCAGATTAATAAGCTTGCATCCTCGCTGAGAAAAAGAAGTGACAGGGGACAGTGAGAGTATGACCTTGGTCAACAGGAAACTGTTAAACACTTTGCCTGAGGGGAGCCTGACACATCTGCCTGGGCATGAATATCCCATGAAGAGCCTTTAAATGTGGAAATGACAAAGAAGCACGCCTCTTTTAAATTGCAAATGAGAGAATATCAGTCAACTTTCAGGTGTAAGAAGTCAATTAAAGCCTCTGTTAGTGACTTTACCTTGAAGATAAAGAAGGTTGATGTGGGACTTTCAGTGAGGTGATATTTCTTAATTAGCAATGCTCGTAAGATTTATCTGCAGATGGGTAATCGTCACTTGTTACTTTTTTGAAAAACTTGCTATTTGATATCAAAGCCAATGACAAAACATATTTAAGGTTTTTATGCAAACTAATAACTTAACAAACTAAGTTTCATAGTTTATTGTGACATTTTTGCAGAAATGTACCTAAACTGTTTAGATTTTAAGTTATAAAAGTAGTTTTCAAACATCAGCAATATCGGCGTTTCACAAACCAAACTGTATCCAAGTTTATTTAAAGGGATATTCCGGCGTGAAATCAAGGTTAGGATCAAACACACCGTAACACCGAGTTAGACACCCCATCAAGAGATGAATGCTGGCTGCTTGCTTCTCTAGTTATACAAACTTTAGTAACGACCGCAGATAGCAATACAGAGAGCCACGCGCTCAACCAAAACACCACTCTATAGCCACAAATAATTCTCAATATCTAAGTTTACTGAGCCAAACTTGACTGTTTGGGTGGGAATGCACCACAAGTTGTGGGCCTCTTACATGTGATACTGACTATTTTGATATATCTAAAACTGAGATCTGTTTACTGAAACTCAATATGCAATACAGCTGAAATAAAGGGAATTAAATAAATCAGATAATCCAACATGTTAGTCACCAGCTCAAGTACCTTGGGTCCCAATTTGTCCTTGAGGTTCTACAGCTGTAACTTTTTAATGTGGAAAGAAAAAGTTTTTTTTTTTTTTAAAGTTACAGGAATATGTTGTATTTGTAATATAACATAAATAAGTTTAAAGTCTGAAGGTGCAAACTTCTACCATCACGTCTGTTCAGATGCAGCAGCGTTGACTACATATCCCATGAACCCCTGAGGCCCCTCCTCCCGCATACCTCTGCTGTGTGCTCACGCTGCGCTGTGGGGATGTTGCACAGCACAAGTTGCCCCAAGAGCAGCAGCAAGTCGAGGCGCACGGTGAAAAAGTTTCTCCACAGGAATGGGCAAGTTTGAGAGAAACGTTTTACCTCCACATTTCACCTCCACGATACTCAGAACACCGAGGGAGTGGATTTAAAGAAGCACCGGGCTGATCAAACACTCCAGATTTGGGATTTCTTGGTGGTTTCTCACACTTTTTTTTGGGATTTGCTACATCTGAAGATCCAACCCCGAGCGGGCTGCTGCTGCTGCTGCTCTCTTGTGTGGTCAGAGAAAATGTGCTCCTCTACGCAGCCTCGTAGTTTCGCGAGGTTTGCCGTGGTTTTTCTACTCTTTTTGAGGCTACAGCGTGGATGTGGGGCCAACACAAGGACGTGTCCCCCTCCCTGCTCGTGTTCTGGGGAGCTTGTGGACTGCAGTCGGCTGAAAAGGGGCCAAATTCCAAACACGATCCCGGAATGGACAGTTCAACTGTGAGTCCACTTTTAAAGCCTGCGTGGGGGAGCTTAGCGCTGTCGCTGTTACTGATTTTATTCTCACTTGTTTGTGTACATTTCTTATTTTTACACATGTGGGAACTTCTGCAGGTTGTTGGAGAACAAAGTTTGGTGAAGTGTTCTCCTTCAGCACCAGAGGACGACCCACATTCCTGCTGTAGTGGAAAGGGAATGTGTTGTAAACCACAATGAACGACATTTGGCTTAATTTGACTTCAGATCTGGTTTAACCTCATCTAAATTACAGAACTGAGAGTATTTAGTTTAATTTAGAGACACGGATAGTTAAAGTAAAACTGTATCTCCAGTGTTAAACCAGTCTGGGCTTATCTATAATCCAAATAGATTATTTATTACACGAGTCTCTCAGGCTTTCAGGCTCTTTGACACCAGCAGGGAGGCAAAGGAAAGACTGAGTGTTTTTACACATGAATATAGTATTGTCATTCCCTCACAGGCTCCTCATTAAGATGTAAATACTCATGCATGAACCCTCCTATTGCATGTAGAGTTTTAAATCCAGCCTTTCTCATGTTGTAATGCAGGAAAATAGGAGTAGTAGCAGTATCAAGAGCTTAACTATCCTAGTCTCCTATCAGGTAGTCCCTTTAACTGGAACCTGGAGCCCTCCAGATTGTTTTTCATGGTTTGACAGTGCGGTTACATCCACATTTTTCTTCCTCACAGTGATTGGTGTCGGCCGTGTTGATGTTTCACTGTTGGTTCAGTCTTCAGATTTCAGCTTCACATACCCCGAGGCCTTCAGAGCCATAAAAGCATAAATCAGAGGCAGTGTGTGTGTGTAGCCTTGGACTGTTTCCTAAAGTAATATCTCCATTACACTCCTGTTTGTCCACTGGCTCCATAAGTTAAGACGAGGCTGAGCTCGGCCTGAAGCCTGCTGGATCTCGAATACCAAACACAACTTTACTGGCTTGTGCCTCAGTCTGTTCTACTTTCCAGATAATTATTCTGACTTGAGTTTTAATTGCCCCGCTTTAAGCTCCTGCACTTGATTTTTATTGTCCTGTGTCAGGCTGCAGAGCTTGATTCACTGCCTGGTGTAGGCTGAGTTCCCTGCTGTTGAATTTAGTTTTTCTCTTTCTAAAATGTGCTGCTCTGGAAACTTGACGTTGCCAGAGAAAACAGACCCAGCCTGAGCCTCATAACCGAGGCCGGCCTCCCAAAGAAAGTGAAGAAAAAAAAAAAAAAGAAAGAGCTGTTCCACATGGGGGGAAAAATTCTTTTCACTCTGGCATGCTAATTTACGAGTGGCTCCCCAGCACATCTTAAACCCCTTAAACCGACCGACCCTTTGTTTTCCAGCACCCCATTATTTCTGCTGAATTAGCAACTCCAGAGCCAGCGATGGTACTGATTAAGGAGGAGCGTGCAGGATTAGTTCGGAACAAAATCACTGCGAAAGGAAAGAGTAAGAAGGGAGAGGAAGAGAGGAGCGTAAAGAAAGTCGGTTAAAGCCATTAATATCTAAAGGGGTTGGAAAATAGGTTGCAGATTTCTACCAAGACTTCATATCATTTTACTGTGAAAGGTTTAAAGTGTGGCAGGACTCTGGAGTCTACTTCAAACTGCACTTAAGAGACTCCAATCATGTTGGACTTGAGTTGGAGAACGAATCTTTAACAGATTTCTCTCTACTTTTATTTATTCTGAAACTCTAAAGGACGGCAAAGACAGGAGGTGGTCGACAGCAGGTGGTTTGAATCACAGCTTTGCTAGCCATTAAAATATCCACCCAAGCTAATATTCAGGAAAACAGGAACTGTATTTATATGGGTCTACAAGTAGGATAGAAAGTATAATGAGAGGTAGACTGAGAGAAAATGTCTTAAAGCTCCTGTGAGGAACTTGAGCTGTGTGTCAGTTCTGGCGCCCCCTGTGGACAAAGCAGTCTTTACATGTTTGAGCAGATTTATGACAACAAATCTAATCCTGCTGCTTTTTGACAGTCAAATATTTCATTAAGTGCGAATAACTGAGGTGAAAATTGTAAAAACAGGACTGTGTCTGCAGCTGCAGGGCTCGGATTTACCCCCTTACATGGTTTTAGATAATAGAAATAGGGGTTTCAAAGTCTAAAGTAATGTTGATTATAGTTTCGTTTGCTTTTGAATATCATTAGAGGGTATCAGAATGATTTTCAGTCAATTTTATAAATGTCAAAAAACTACACATAGGAGCTTTAAGTTTGTGTCAAATTCAGACAGGGGGATACAGAGTTGAAAAAAAAAAATCAAAAGCAAATGCAGTTCCTCGAGTGTCCACTTAGGGCTGAGTACAAAAGTTAAAGTATCTTAAATAAGTCCCATGTTAAAATGCTCAGTTACATAATTGAGGGCAAGGCTTTTACAGGCATGCAGGTGTGTTGTAGCTGTGTGTTAGCAGCCTGAAAGCCCATCTCTTCTTCCATTTCTTTCCCTTTTTTTTAGGTTGGGGTTCAAAATATCATTCATGTGACTCTGAGGAGTTTATAACCCCTCTAGATAATGTAGCTTTTCTATACATTCATTTTGGGAATGTCATTATTCTCAAGTCAAAACACACGATGACTTTGTAAAATTTATGTTGACAGTCGAAGTTAAACAAGAATGTGACAGAGTGGTTAAACCTTAAGACCTTAAAGCTACTTAGCATCAGTTTGTTAAACCTGCCTTGATTATCATGAATGTTAAAGAACATAAATCATAAACGCTACCTCAAACATTTTGACTTTTTCGTTTAGAAGTTAAAGAGAAAAATAAACTCTGAGTGGTTTGCATCACAGATTTGTTTACTACACACCCAAGCTACTGTTAATCATGTTGTGGTCATTATCTTTCTTTTTAGCATTTAAATAGGCTGTCTGGCTGACTTGTTGTCTGTTAAATGTAAACTTCAGTTAAATCCACAAAGCTGAAACTGAACTACAATTAAAGTCAAGTTGAAGTCTGCTCCCAGCGTCCATTATCAAACTCTAACAAGTTACTGACAGCTCCTGTGGTGTAAAGAGTGGCTCATTTATTCACTTTTCACTCTTGGATAAGAGAGTTGGCTTGTTGTACGTTTCCACCAGAGCAGCAGGCTGCAGCCTGTACGCCGCGCTGTGTTATCTCGCTTTACTCAGAGCCTGCTTTGTGAGGGAAGTGGAAGTGACAGAGCTACTTAGGTTTTATCTAGGGAGTATGATAGGACACCTTTTCCATACGGCCCCTAGTGCTGGAACTACAACAACAACAACGCTAAGTCCCGTGCAAGGAGAAAGGGGGGTGGGGTGAGCTTAAGCGAGGCGAGTAAAACTCTGGTTGAGTGGTTCGTGAAACTTTCCACCAAAGAACAAAAAGAAAGAAAAAAAAAAAACAGGCCCCTGAAAATCCAGCAGGGGTGTTTTAGACGTTCAAAAGGCGTCCCTCTCGCTTTTCCTGGCATTGTGAATACATTACCAGTCGATAGGTTCGTCCCCTCCTCCCTGCACTCCTTGATGGATTCCAGATGAGGGAGGTAAAGGAGGAGGAGGAGGAGGGGTGAGGAGGTGCAAAAAAAAAAAAGTGTCTGGCACCACAGCGTTGATCGTGCGCAGCAGCAGCGTCAATAGCTCCACCACTCTCTGCCGCACGAGGCTCAGCCTGCCAGACTCCTCGATCTGGTTTTCAGGCTTCTTTTCAAAACAAGGACCGTGCTCTGAGTGAGCTGCAGCCAGGACCGCTTCCAAATCCAGGCTCAGTTGAGTTTTAGTCAGGCGCAGATCCAAAGAGGCTTCAGACAGAACCAAGACATTAACCAGAGCTAATAATACACAGAAACAACGAAGGTACACACAGAAATCACAACTCATTTAGGCTTCAGAAAAGTCGACTCCATGTCCAGAGTAGACACTATAAAAGATTCTGGACTGAGCCTCGTCCAGTAACCCAACCTTGACTCCAGCATTTTATCGACCCCCCTCTCACCAGATTCTGGCCTCCTGTGAGCACGAAAAACTCCAGCTCCCTAATAACTTATCATCTGTCTGCTTTGGCTCGACTCCTGGACCGAGGTCTGGAAATGGAGTGAACCGTTTTGGCGCGGACCTTTTCTCCTTCCATGTTTAAAAATTAGCCATGAAAAAAGCAACAAAAGACCCTTAGCTAGCTAGCGAGCCTTTTTAGGGATTGTTTTGGAACTTTTCAGACGCCGCTCGCTCGGAATTAGCCGATAACATCTGTTGTGTTTTGTTTCCGTCAGCGATCAATCATATTCTTGCTTATTTTTCTGACTATTCTGGTTCATTCCGCCCATGAGGTTGAATTATAGTGACTTCTCTTTGATGCATTGCAGCGTTTTAAGCACAATAACGCTGGAAATTTGTATGTAATTATGTTTGAGACTACAGCAGCTGAGAAAAAACACTTCTCCCTTCTTTTCTTCACAGGGACCTGAGCCATAACAAATTGCAGGTGCTTGACAGCTCTTTGTTTTCCAACTTGCAACATATAAGTGAAATGTGAGTACGCTTTTTTTTCTTCACACGAGTGTTTAAAAATCTGCCTGATTGTTTTCTGATTTCCTTTTTTTTTTATTTACCGTGCACAGAAAGCTCAACCACAACGAACTGGATGCAGTACCTGATCTGGGTCCATACGCGTCAAACATCACGACACTGATTCTGTAAGTAAAACTCTTCTTCGAGCCTGTGATTTCATTTCTCTGGGTTTGAGCCTGCTGTGGAGGATTTTCCTGTGCCAGAGTTGTCGTTGCTTGTTTTAAGTAGAGAGCGAAGGAGTTCCTCCCCCTTTCTTTTCCTCTGGAGAGCTGCCCCGTTCGGTTGAGCTGGTTCCCAGACAGGGCATTCGCAGAGACATGGCAGCCGGCCCCAGACTGCTCACGTGGTTTTAAGACAAATGCCATCAACAGAAATGGAAATGTTTTGTCTGGTGGCCGGAGCTGCTTTTGGTGTATTTTTAACCTGGAGGCTAGAGTGACGTGACGCTGGAAAAAAAGACAAAGTGTCCTGTAAAAATGACAGACGTCCAAATTTGGGGATTTTTGTATTAAGCTGGAGTGGACGGGCTGCTTGTTTCTGTGAAAGGAATAGAGGTTTTTCTGCAAAGTCTCTGAAGCCGATTAACCCAGAGTTTTGTGTGCAGAATAAAGAGTTTACTTCAGATGATACACTCAGAAAAAAAAAAGCATTTAACTTGTCAGATCTGATCTGGTTCAGACTCCGACCAGAAGACGGTTGTGCAATACGTGCTCAGAGAAGAACAGCAGATATTAGTGTGTGAAACCTCAACAATTTATTTGCTTTCTGCGGCATGTCTCTCCAAAACCGAGCGACGTGAAGTTATTGTGGAAAAATGTATCCCTCTCCCGGCTTGATGAGGCGTATTCCTCATCAAGCCCCGACAAGACGCTCTGCGGCAGCCGCAGGGCGTGCAGGCATCCGCCATCGACAATTTGTTTGCACGTTTGGTGCAGGAGTGTCACCTCCAGCTATGAGTTTCAGCGGAGGAAGACGGGTGGGGTAGTTTGAACACCTAAGGTGTCATATTTTCCTGCAGGATTTGACGGAGAACGAGTTTGTTTCACTCGCTTTAACTGGATTTCGATTTTGAGTACAGACCTGTAATCCCTGCCTCAGGAATAAGCATAATAGTTGTATTATTAGCCGAGCACCTGATGTGAATGGCTGCTTCATCTTGCGGTTAAGAGGTCACAGGTCCATCAGCCACAATTGCCGTGTGTGCCGTCCAAGCACCCTTGAGCTACTGTGGATTACAGCGCAGAGTTTCCTGCACAGAAAAATACCAGAATCTCTCCAAACCATAAATACTTGAATTGATTCAAGGACGTTTTTCAGTTTAGTTTACCCCGAGATGGAACAAGCAAACTCTGCCTCAACTGTATCAAGTAAACAACAGCTTTTTTTTTTGTGAGTAGGAAACCGAAATACGCCAAAATATCAAGAAAATTCAACACGAAGGCACCAAAATGTCTCAAGACTGGAGCTATCTGAAAATCCAAAACAAAGAGGATTAAGTTTGAGATAAAGTTCTGCAAGAAATGAGTATTGTGTCCAAAAAAAATCACTGATCAGTGTGTTAATTCAGGGAAACTGAAAAAGTTTGGGGAAAAAAACAACGTGAAGTCTCAGAAAGGAAAAGCTTGACAAAGGCGGGATTTTTTTTTTTTTACATATTACAACTAACCTTTTTACAAGTAATCATCTAGTTGTGCTTAATCTTAATAATCAGCCATAAGACTCAACTTTTAAACAAAAACACCAAAAGGAGTCACACCGCACTGAATATTAGCAAGTCTTCCTCTGGTTTTATGGCAGGTGGCGAAGAACCACTTGCACCCCACTATAAACCAACTGGTTATCCTGGATTAGGGATGTGATATCAATACTGGACCAATATTTGATATCAGTATCGGACCGATATCAATATCAGACCGATATCAGCAGAAAAAGAACATTTGATTATATTGACCTGCATCTAAAACCTTCGATATCAGCACTCCGATACAAGCAGTCCATTCCAGATTCCGCCCCAGCACTTCTATCTCGCAGCACCGAGATCCAGCATGCAGAGCCCATGTGATCACAACAACAGTGTGTACTAAGGTACAAACAAAGCAGCGAGGAGGAGTGATGTCGGCCTCATGGCAGTAATTTTTGTAAAAGTCCGAAAAAGACATTGCAGCTGAGAGCAAAACTTGTCATGCGCAAGTTTGTGCCAATATCGGTATCGGCCGATACTGACGGCCAAAATATTGGAATCGTATCGGAATTGTATCGGAAGTATCGTAAACTTTTTACTGTTGCTGCTCCTACACTGTGGAATGACTTACCTCTCCACATTAGACAAGCTCCCTCACCATCCATTTTTAAAACCCGTCTAAGAAACTCACTTTTATTTTATTCCTTGGCTTTTGACCCAGCATGAGACGGCATTACTATTTATTGTTGTTTTATGTTTTTATCTTATTATGTACAGCACTTTGCATCAGCTTTGGTTGTATTGAAAGTGTTAAACCCAAATACAGTTGAGTTGAATTGAGTTGAGTATCGATATTGTATCGTAAGTCGAAAAGTTGTATCTGGACGCCCCTATCCTGAATTACCGTGTCTTTTTTAGGACAGTGTCAAAGTTTCTGTTGTTGTTTAGACAGTTATAGTAAATGCTGGACACTAAAATACCCAAGTTTTCGATCAGTGAAGTCATGGACAGACTTCAATGACTCAACAGAGATTTGAAGAAAGAGCGCTCACAGAAGAAAATCTCACTTGCTCTCAAACTCACACCGTCTGCCTCGGCTGCCGCCTTCCTCCTTTCGTTTAGGTGATGCAGTGTGATTTTTCCAGAATTTCTCTCCCTTCTTCAGTTTCTTCGAGCTGGGAGGGTAGTAAAAAAAAAAAAAAGAAAAAAGACCTCGGGGTATCAGATACCACTTATTCAAACAGCCAGTCAGACATAGCGGCAGCTCTCGCCGACTTCTTTGACCTCACAGCTCCGAGTAAAAACAAACGGCAATAACCCTACAGCTGGTAGTAATTGAGTCGTGATCATCTTAATTAATTGAACAATTTCCCAGGAATTTATGGAGGGGGTAAACCCCACCGCCGCTAAATCCCTCTGCCTGTGTTCAGAGGGGCTCAACAAATGACCTGGAGATTCCAGGTCTGATTAGGTTTATTAAGAGGTGAGCCTCATGGTATGTCAAGGAAACGGGGACCTGGTTAGAAAGAAGAAACGCTGCCCAAAATAGTGGCAGGTATTGAGATAATCTGTGTGCAGAAGTGAGGCTGCGTTCAATGACAGTGGGATAATTTGATGTTTAGCCATTGCCTTTAAAAAAGCACCAAAACCCAAGTAAAATGTTGATTCATCAATGATTTAACAGCCCCCTTCTTATTTTATGTGGAGGTCCTGCAGTCCACATGTTAATACGATCCCCATTCCCCTCCTCTCCCACCGGGCGCAGACGTGTTAAGATGATCAGCCACGAGGGTGAGATATGTGCGCTGTTTAATATGGCGTCTCGAAAGCGAACGCAGCCCTGGTTTTCATTACAGGCGCCACTGAAGAGAGAGGGAGTCATCAGATGGCTTTTCGAAAACTCTGTTCTTTTTCCAATAGGAAATACCACACACAAACGCACCGCTACACATGTGCACGAACACACAACTGTCTCACACACTTGGAGAGAGAGAGAGATGGTCTCAGATGAAAAAAAAACAAAAAAAAAAAAATCAGTTTTCCATTCAAAGAGCGAGCTCCCACTATTAAAAGCATTAGTGGAGAGAGTTTTCGCTAAAAACAAAAAAGCTCCATCAGTCATCTTGGAGTTTTTACATAAGTGCATTTTTTTCCAGTGTGTAAATGTGGTCGGTTTCACGGCGGTGAAGGACGAAAATAAAGCTGAGTTCAGCGCGGAGTACGAATGGTTTCACTCGCATTTCAAACACTTGAATTTTATTAATAAAAGTCTCAAAAGAGAGATATTCGAGGGTCAGACCAAAGCAGCACCACTGCATCGATTTAATACGTCTGCTGCCACTTCCACACATGCGTATTATCATCGCCAAAGACGCCCCGGGCCGTTATTGACACACGCTTGGCCTCCTATTGACTTCCAGCAAAGTCCTGCCACTACAGCTGTAAAGGCTCTGTAATCATGTTATCTGATAGCAAAGTGGATGAACAAATTTGGAAGTGTGTGTAATTAGAGTGTACAGCGCTGGGATTGTTTGTGCGGGGGAGGAGGGTGCTCATTTTGTGGCAGGTCAGACAGAAAAAAGGAGGAAAGCTTTTGCTATATGTTGGCCCGAGTTCGCTGAATCGTGTGAAGTTAACGGTTTAAATCAGTTCACAGGATAATGAGATTATTAGTTAGCCAGATTTCTTGACTTCAGTGTCTCTACTTCCCCCCCCTCCTGAGAGAAACAGGAAAGACTGGTTCTTTCTCACCAGGCGACCTCGCTTCTCTCAGCGGCCAGTCAGGGGGAACATGAAAACTGAGATACAGGTGGTGTGCAGCCCCTTTGTTTGGGACGTGGGGGCTGTGGTGCATGGAAAGCCCTCTGCAAATCTGCAAACAAAAGGACTCCCTGTGCAGAGACTGATCAGTATTTTACTGTAGTTGCTGCACACTCAAGAAGACCATCTTTGGGGTTTTAAAATCCAGTTTGACCCGAACCATTTTCCAAAACTGAGCGCTTTGATTTGATTTTTATTCTCCGAGACGTTTCAAGGCATCCTGAAATGTAATCCTCTTGGCAAGTTTAGCAGCTCCTGCACCCTGACCCGGCGTCTCTTCGTGCCACAGCCCCAATATTGACTCAAGCACAAAGCTCAGAAACATGCTCCGGCGGGTTCGATTTCAGCATTGCTCCACAGCGCCCGCCAAACTCTCTGAAAACGCCGTCCATCTTAGATATTTATTGACACGGGAATCTTCCCCTCCTGTGTGACTGTATATATGTCGATTTCCAAAAAAAGGTGTTGGACTTTCCATATGGAGAGTCTTGTTGCTATGGAGACGTGTGCCCTGAAAGCAGTCAACATAGAGCGGTGTGGAAAGTGGGTCAGAGTCACCACATTGTGGTTTTAGCAGGTGAGACATCTGAGATTCACAGCAGAGTGGTGCCATGATGCCACTCTGCCCGAGGACCAGAATCTGAGATTGAGATTAGATTAAACAGCAGAGTCAGCGAGAGCCAGCCAAGAGTGAACAGACAGGCTATTATACTCATTCTGCATCATTGTTCAGACTAACTACTTTCCAATATGAGCGGATATTTTTCATTTTTGTATTTTTGCCTAAAATTTCTCGTTAGCAGATAATCCTTCCAGTTCCTCTTCAGACTTTTAACTCAAGAAATGAAGATAAAAATACGTCACGATCCACTCAAATTCAAGTTTATGTCCGCTGTTAACTTATCGAATAATTCATCTGGTTTAATCAAGAGTCCAAACCTCTAAATTACTTTTTTATTCTTGCCGATGTTGGAGGCATTCTCCGCAGAGAAGTTTGAACTTTGGTGTGTTTGGTATTTTCGCTCAGAGAATCGATAAAACAATCAACCAGCTCCCCCCAAAAACCATCTCATTAATCTTAAACCGTGTCGCTCAGCTCCGCTCGGTTCTAATAGTTTCATTTTAATGACGCCACATCCCGAATGAAACTCCGCTCAGGTTTAATACTTGATTTTTGTTGGAGGACGGAGGAGGAAAGCTAACAGCTCGCGGGTCAGTAAGGTGTAGCTGGAGGAGGGGGCTTCAGCCATCCTGATGAATACTGAAAACGAGGGCCTGTAGTCTGGTGTATTGGAGGGAATTCCTGCTCCCCCCTTCACTCTCTCTCTACAGCCGAGTCCCATACACAAAGAGGGCACTGTACAGGCTCTGTTTATAACTAAGCAGTCCCTGCACTGCAATTTAGGAGGCGTGCAGCTCAGGAAATTGCTGGCCTCTGCCGAGGCATGCTTTCACTGAGGGAATGGTATTCATCAGCCAAGTAATTGGCAGGTTACTTTTTTAAATACCTTGTTGGTAATTACCTTATAAACAAAATAACACATCAATAAAGGGGAGGGTTGTTTGGAGCCGGTGTATGGACTCACGGCATTGATCAGACCGAGCAATTTGTCGGCATTGTTGAGACATGCACGCAGCTCGAGCGAGAAGCCCGTCATGTTGGGTGGTAAGTTTGAACTGTACAGGCGCGTGAGACTTTGTCATTTTTTATACCACAAGCTGATTGAGGGACTCAACGGTTTGTGTATCTGGAAACTTGAGAGCGGTGCGCGCCACTGGTCAAATACACAGTGTTTCTGTCATTTATTGGAGCGATGGTGTCTGTATTTTCAGAGCAAACAACAGGATCACCAGGATCTCCGAGGAGCAGCTCAGGCCTTTCCTCGCCCTGGAAACGCTCGACCTCAGCAACAACAACATTGTGGATATAAAGGCCAGCTCGTTCCCCGCGCTGCCGCTCAAGAACCTGTGAGTGCCACCGTTTCTTTCCACGCTTGATTGTTCATTTTAAAACAGCTGCACAGAGGGTCATTTCTAAAGAGGACGTCTCCATCTTCAGTTTTTAACACGTCGAATGAAATCTTTCTTCCTCAGGTTCCTCAACAACAACCGCATCTCCTCGCTGGAGACCGGCTGCTTCACCAACCTCTCCAGCAGTCTGCAGGTTCTCCGGCTCAACCGTAACCGCCTCTCCTCCATCCCAGCCAAGATCTTCCAGCTGCCCAACCTCCAGCACCTGTGAGTGTTATTATCTTGACTAAAAATGTCTCATAGTCAGGGCTTTAAATATCTGATAACTCATGATTTCACTTATAACAGACACAGTTTGACACTTTTGGAGATTTTCCTGATTTTATTCCATGTGAAAGCTCGTCGCATGTTAAAGGTCGGGACTTTTTACTCTGATTGGATCTAAGTATATAATTTTCCAATTTGCTGACAGGGCATAAGGCCTGTACTGGGGTTTATGTCATCCACCGTCACCGTGGTAACCAGTGTGACTCTGAGCTCGTCTTTCTGCTGCTATAGGAGGTTTCATCATGAAATACTGTGTGTGTTTCAGGGAGCTGAGCAGGAACCGGGTCCGTCGAGTTGAGGGTCTGACCTTCCACGGCCTGCACGCTCTCCGCTCCTTGAAGATGCAGAGAAACGGCCTCAGCCGCCTGATGGACGGGGCCTTCTGGGGTCTCAGCAACATGGAAGTCCTGTACGTATATTTTCGAGAGAGAGCATCAGGTTTTCGTCCTTCATCCTGGTATAAAGTCTGATTGTGTGTGTGTGGGCCTGCAGGCAGCTGGACTACAACAACCTGACGGAGGTGAGTAAGGGCTGGCTGTACGGCCTGCTGACTCTGCAGCAGCTCCACCTCAGCCACAACGCCATCAGCAGGATCCGACCCGATGCCTGGGAGTTCTGCCAGAAACTCAGTGAGCTGTGAGTCCATTTTTTTTCCCTCCTCTTTTTTTTTTCCCTCTTCGCCCCCTCTCCTCCTCCTCCTCCTCCTCTCGTTATTCCCTCCTCACTTTCCATTCACACTCTGAACTCCCAACACGTCTCTGTGTCGCCCTCTTCTCCTCTCTGGCACTCCCGCCTGCCCTTCCTCACACTCCAGTTCTCCCCCGCCGCCACTCTCCCGCACACACACACACACACACACACACACACACACACACACACACACACAAAGACACACAGACAAAGCAGCGTCTCTCATGCTCTGCCAGTCAGTGCCTACATTAAAGCACTGCCAGCGTATTACACACCCCTTTGCCTTTTCTCTGTTCGGTTTCCTCTTGAGCCGGATCATGGCTCCCAGAAGTCCTGCACATTTTGGAAATTCCATCATTAATTGCAGTTTCTTGTGAAACACTACTTTACCCGCAAACTTGAGTGTTTTCCCACCCATCAGCATGCATTCCTGCAGGCAGATTGGACTCCTTTGTTGTGGCTGTTGTTTACAGCAGCGGTCAGTTTAGTGCTCGCAGCGTCTGGTGCGTTTTTTTCACAGAGGGGTTGTTGTTCTTTCCCCTCTTCGCTTTACTCTCTCTTATCGCTTGAACCTGAGAGTAAACAAGCCGCCTGTCGGAGGGTATATCTGATGTGCTCTCATCTGAGTTTACTGATAAACAGACTTTTAAGATAATTAGCACGTAAGAGTTCGATGCGGTAAAATGTCGTACTGTAAAAGCAAATATAAAGAGCCAGAGTGATGTTATATGATGTTGTCTTCTCCGCAGCAACCTCTCCTCGAACCATCTGTCCAGACTGGAGGAATCCAGCTTCGTAGGCCTGAGCCTCCTGGACGAGCTCCACATCGGGAACAACCGTGTGAGCTTCATCGCGGACGGAGCTTTCAGGGGACTCTCGAACCTGCAGATGCTGTGAGTTCACAATTTAAACACCTCTTTATTTTTCTTATTTATGGGCGTTTAAACAACCAGCAAAGAGAGGAAGCAGCTGCAGGAAAGAAGTAGAAGAAGAAGAAGACAAATTACATTGCTAGATAATCGAAAATAGGTCTTTTCTCACACAGATAGTGCCAAACTTTTACTTTGTGGAACTGTGTCTCTGACAGTACATGTGCTTGTTTTTAAAAGCTTCATTCGCTGCTCTGTTTCCCCCTCCCCCCCTTGTTAAACCCACCTCCACCATCAATCCTCTGCCTGAGTGGAAATATCCTGCCTGATTTGTTTTGGGGATGTGAAATAGATTACTGTGTTGAGGTCTCTCCGCACATATAAAAAAAAAAACCTCCAAGAGGCACAACCCCGACCTCAAAGCCCCCTCTCAAACACACACACACACACACACACCAGCCCGCCCTTCCCCCCTCGCTCTTTCCCACAGACATCCCCCCTCTGGTTCGACTTTTTAAACTGGAACCAAATGTGGGCTGCGCCGCTGAGGTCACCGTAGGGCAGGTGTGCAGCTAGGTGGACATGAATGGCTTCAGGGCTTTAAACCTGGACTCACACGCACAAACACACACACACACACAAAGACACACAAACACACCCTCCCTCGGTCTCGATCAGCCATAACCAGGCATGGCGAGGAGGAAAATAACTGTTTGAAAGCATTAAGGCAGCTGAGGGATCAAAGGAGGCCGTTTCTCTGGGAAATTCTTGATGTTTTGAGATGTTTGGACTGTTAGGCTCTCTGTGAAGTTGTCGGTGCATTTTTCTCTCTTTTGGTCGGGTCATAAAGTTTTTGTATTTTGTGTTTCGATGCTGTTTTAAAGATGCATGTGTACACTTGGAATCATCAGCTGTAGGGATAGGAATCGAAAACCAGTTCTTGTTGAGAACCAGTTCCAAATGGTTTAATCCATCGACATTGTTTACATTTCCTCTGAACGATTCCCTTAACGATTTGCTTTCTTACGGGTGCCTTGAAAAACGGTCTTGCGAGAGCTCGTCTACGCGAACGAGAACAGAAACTTTGTGGAAAAAAACATGGCGGATGGTACAAAAAGTTGGCAGAAACGATCTGAAGTGAGGCGTAGTTTAACTAAGAAAGATGACAATGGGTTTTGTAGGGAAGTATTGAGTCTGTTTTTTATGCGCTTGTAACCCAGTTAGCCATGCGTATTTGTGTCCTCTTTTTGGGGTTTAAGAATATGGTCACCCTAATTTGACTTAATACCGACCAAAGCAAATGCTGTACAAAAAGTTTGTCGTTCGATTATTTTTAGACTCTCACTGAAGGTGGCATACAAATTTTTCTATTATCAGACTCAATAAAATTTTGAGTTTAGGGTGAAAACCTATAGTCTACTTTTTTCAAATCAAAGTAAGGCATTGATAAAGGAATCGTTAAAGAATTTAATCGATAAGCAGAATCGATATTGGCATCGATATTGATAAAATCGTATCAATCAGCTGTCTGAACACTTAATTTCCACGTATTTGCTTGTATGTGTGGCGCAGTTTAAGTTCGTAAATCCACTCAGTAGACACACAGTCATCATGATGTTGAACTCATTCAGTGCCAGGTTCATTTTTGCAGTTTTCACCCAGTGCCGCCATCAACCGCAATAGAAATCTCTGCATCTTTCAGGTCCCACAGAATATCTTTTGCTCGGACTAGAATTAAGTGCAATATCTCAAAAGAAAGGGGTGATTCTCTTCCTTAACCAAAAAAAGTTAGTCTCCAACTCACTCCTGTGTTTAGTTATTGCTCTTGAGAACCTGACGCCATGACGTAAACCTCACGGACTGCTTCGGTCGTCCTTGCTGGGACTGTCTCTTAATTCTAGCTCAGTCTCGCTCACCAGTACCGGCACCGGCGGCACAACAACACGCTGGAAAATTGTTTCTTTGATTGTCGGCTGACGATGTGAAGGTCCGATACTGGGGTCTCCAGTGGATCCAGAGACAGTAGCACCGCGCCCAGGGGAGCCGATGCGCCAAGACTGTTTGCTCTTGGCTAATGACTTTGGCATTTTCCTACTCTCTGCATAAAGAAAAAACTCTCAGAACTAAGCTAATTGGCACACTTTATGGCACACTTGTTTTTAAGGGCCCGAGCCGAGAGCGCAGCTCTGTGGCGAAAGCCTTATTGTAATTCAAGGAGTTCTCGATTATTATTATTATTATTTTTATTATTATTTATTTTTTAAAATTTATTTTTTGAACTGCCTCTGAAAACGCAAATTTGACCCCCTGATTAGCCTTGAAAACTCACGAAAATTTGCTGGGAGGTGGGGCCCGGCGAAAATCGCAATGTTTTCAAGTGACCCAAAAAAAGCGATTAAAAAATGGCTCGCTAGCACCCCCTACAGAGTGCCACCTAGTTGACTTTGCCCGAAATTTTACAGGCACGCGTATCTTTATGAGATCTTTGATTTTGCACACTTGGACTTTCTTCTCAGACGTATGGTTAAAGAGTTATCACGCTGTTTTCGCCCCCTTTTGGCCATTTCTATAGGTCACGCCAAACGCTACTTGTTGTTATTGTAACGTGGTTATATGGTCATGAATTTGTCGGCTTTGCTGCATTCAGAACGACCCCAAATTTAGTCGCATGTTGGATAGAAGCGCCCTCTGACGGAAACTAAAAAAAGAAAAATCTGTTCAAATCCGTCACTGGCACTGAATGAGTTAATGTTAACTCACATACATATTTTAATTGTGTGCAGAGTATGGTTATCCACTGAAATGTGATCAAAGTGCAGCACACATGTTAAAATGCAGCGCTCTCTTGTAAAACGTCTTTTTCTATACGACACAGCGCAGACATCACAGGCTTTTAAAAACGCCGCAAAGGCCAGGAAGGAACTTCCTGTTCGGCGTTGAATACAGTTTTAGAGTCTGAAACATTTCCCCCCTCACTTGAAATGTAAAGCCGCATACAGTTTTATTAACACAGCAAGTGCAGTTGTTTTCTGGGTGTGGTTTTTTACAACGTGGTCTGTCTTTGTTTCTCTGGGCAGGGATCTCCAAAATAACGAAATCTCCTGGACCATCGAGGACATGAACGGGCCTTTCTCCGCTCTGGACAAGCTGAAGAAACTGTGAGTTCAGGATCAGTGTATGAGTGTGAAGGTTAACGTGAGGTTTGGAAGCAGACTGATGATTTTTTTGTTTTTTGTTTTCCCAGGTTTCTGCAGGGGAACCAGATCCGCTCCGTGACCAAGAAGTCGTTCTCTGGCCTGGACGCGTTGCAGCACCTGTGAGTTGACCTTGTGTTTCAGCGATTGTTCTCCAAGTCGAAGCTGTAAACTAAGCAGAGTGAATCACACAGAGACAAAGAGGCTGTTTGTCAGAGCCGTAAAGCCCGACTGTCTTCTCCTATTCCCTCTCTTTGATGTGGAATCAGGAAAAAAAACTCCTTTAGTATCTTTAAATGTGTGCCAGACTTTATCGATCACCCAGGCGAGGGAAGGAACGGTGTGTGTGTGTGTGAGTGTGTGTGTGCAACAGCTGCATTTGATTCTAATTAAAGTTTTTTCCCAGAGCTCAAAGCGGCGCAGAGCCGGGCCTCTCTTGATTAACACAGAAAACTGCTGCCCAGAGTTTTATTGTTCTGAAGCCCAGACCTTTTTCTTCTCCCCTGATTGAAGTTTCTGAAGCCTTCACTCTGCATGGCTGATGTTGGCAGAGAACGCCGCCGTCTCCTCGTCAGGATAAAGCCCTGATTTCTTTTCTCTTTCCTCCGCAGAGACTTGAGCAATAACGCCATCCTGTCCATCCAAGCCAATGCCTTCTCTCAGATGAAGAACCTTCAGGAGCTGTGAGTATATCGTGTTGAATCTATAGTGTTTTTGTGATGATGTAGGACTCAAGACCAGGTGAAAGTCATTACAGACTGCCGGGAAAGTGAGTTTGAAACGGCGCTTAATTCGATGTTTATGACAAGTTTGCATTTTCTTTTGTCTCGAGCTTAAAAAAAAACATGTAAAGCATATTTCCATCTTCCTTTAACGCGATCGTGTTGCATGTTGCGTTCAATGTTTTCGTAATCTCCTCCCTTGGCAGACGTCTCAACACCTCCAGCCTCCTGTGCGATTGCCAGCTCAAGTGGCTTCCCGTCTGGGTGGCAGAACAAACCTTCCAGCCCTGCGTCAACGCCAGCTGCGCCCACCCGCAGATGCTGAAGGGCAGGAGCCTGTTCGCCGTCAGCCAGGAGGAGTTTGTGTGTGGTAAGCGATGCATTCATTCGGCGCAACACCCTGACACTCGCAGACCCGGGATGCCTTAAAAAAAAACAGGTTTTCCATTTCCAAACTGACCCTGATTGTTCGATGTTTTCCTACCTGATTCCTGGAGTAGCTAATGAGTTTTAAGAAGGAACAGTTGCGGAAATGTACTAAGTATTAAACTTTCCTGGTCGGTGTCAGCGAGGGGGAAAACTTAGGGATGATTTAATGCTCTGTTTTCCTTTGGAGCCTAATCTGTCAACAGAAAAGCCAAAGAACAAATACCCAATCCCAGAGTTAAAAACATTTTTTTTCTGCACGGCAATTAAATATTTACCCTTTTGTTTTTTTCCAGATGATTTCCCAAAGCCTCAAATCACCGTGCAGCCGGAGACGCAGTCGGCCCTCAAAGGCACCAACGTCACATTCGTCTGCTCTGCGGCCAGCTCCAGTGACTCACCCATGACCTTTGCCTGGAAGAAGGACAACGAGGTCCTGAACGATGCGGAGATCCACAACCAAGCCCACCTGCGGGTGCAAGGAGGCGTGGGAGGCGAGACGGAGGTGACGGAGTATACAACCACCCTGCAGCTCCGCAATGTGGAATTCAGCAGCGAAGGGAAATACCAATGTGTCATCTCCAACCACTTTGGATCCTCCTACTCCACCAAGGCCAGGCTGACGGTCAACAGTGAGTTCAGGACGGGGAAAATTAAACCGCTCAGATCTGTCTCTATCTCTAAAATGAACCAAACTGAGGGTCTTCTTCTCTCCTGCAGTGCTGCCCTCCTTCACCAAGATGCCGATGGACCTGAGTATCCGGGCCGGTGCGACAGCCAGGCTGGAGTGCGCCGCGGTGGGTCACCCCTCACCTCAGATCGCCTGGCAGAAAGACGGAGGCACCGACTTCCCCGCCGCCCGCGAGCGCCGTATGCATGTGATGCCAGAGGATGATGTGTTCTTCATCGTGGATGTGAAGACAGAAGACATCGGGGTTTACAGCTGCACCGCTCAGAACACGGCAGGCGCCATCTCTGCGAATGCTACGCTGACTGTTCTCGGTAAGGAGTCCAAAATTCTGCTCGGACGACTCGCTTAAATTTGTTTTTTCTCGCGCTAACATTTTTTACTTCTTGCAGAAACGCCGTCCTTCTTGCGGCCCCTCATGGATCGCACTGTCGCTAAGGGCGAGACAGCCGTCCTCCAGTGCATAGCGGGCGGCAGCCCTCCGCCGCGGCTGAACTGGACCAAAGACGACAGCCCGCTGGTTGTGACCGAGCGCCACTTTTTCGCGGCGGCAAACCAGCTCCTCATCATCGTGGATGCCGCCGAGGCCGACGCTGGGAAGTACACCTGTGAGATGTCCAACGCTTTGGGAACGGAGAGAGGGAACGTTCGCCTGGCGGTGATTTCGAATCCCAACTGCGACTCTGGAGGGCAAGGCGGCGTGGGAGTTGGCGCTGTTGGCGGGGCGGGATCAGATGACGACGGGTGGACCACGGTGGGGATTGTCATCATAGCTGTCGTGTGCTGTGTGGTGGGAACATCTCTGGTTTGGGTGGTGATCATCTACCACACAAGGCGGCGCAACGAGGACTGCAGCGTCACCAACACAGGTTTGTAATCCCCCTCCAAGTTCCTCGATTTCTCAAAAGATTTAACGGAAGAAAAATGAGAGTGAGTTCGATTTCCTTTGTGCTTCAGATGAGACCAACCTGCCCGCCGACATTCCCAGCTACCTGTCCTCACAGGGCACGCTCGCCGATCGACAAGACGGCTACATCCCGTCAGAGAGCGGCAGCAGTCATCAGTACATGACCTCATCAATCAGCGGCTTCTACTTGCAACCGAAAGACATGAACGGTAGAACACGCTCCCTTTCTTTCCCTGAGTCCTGAGTTTGATCCTCTTGCCGCGTTCCTGACCAGAACTCCTCTTGAATCCTCACAGGTCTTTGTCAGATGGATACAGGAAGTGAAACAGACATGGAGGCGTCCATCGATCCTCTGCTGTGCCACTATCAAGGTCCTATCAGCTCACTGTTTCGACGGGAGATGTACTGCGCCGATCCTTCTGAAGTCTTCACAGGTCTGTCAAATGCAAAATCTCTCCTCAGATTGTTAATCAAGAAAATTAGATCCAAGAATCTTCATTCTTCACTTCCTATAAGAAGAAGTCTGACTATAAGTGTCTTCATTCAGGCTGCTCCATCGACCAAAAACCCAGCCAGAACATCGACCCCTACAGCGACGGCCTGAGCGGCTCTAGAAGGCGGGATTACTTCCTGTCAGAGCATTTTGACCTCTGCTCCTCCACTGTCCTGATGCAACTCCCCAACGCCGGCCTCAATCACGGCCCCTTCCACCAGCAGACTGACCGCCAGCCGTCCACAGAGGAGGGGGAACCCGGCGAGTACGGAAGGGCCGTTGAGTGCCCTCCTTCCTGTAACACCTTCATGGGTGGGTTTTCATTCTGCAGAGTCAAAAAATCTTGCTAAAAAGTGATTAAGATGATACGACCATGTCCCGAGTCGTTTTGCATTATCATATATTGTAATTGAGACCAGTGTGCAAACTGAGCATGCTCAGAGGCTAGTCTGGAGCCAACTGAGGGCAGCAACTTAAACTACTTAAATTGGGTTTGACTGTGTGATTTGATTTCATTGAATATGCTTGCATGAACTTTGAACATCTGGTTTGAGTCGGACAACACAGTATTCCAAATTTCTGTTCCTTTGCAAGATCTGACTTCTTTTGCTTTTCGCTCCATCAGGGACATTTGGGAAAACTCCTTGGAGGCCTCATAAGGATCCGTATCCAGGCTTCGGCCCACCGTCAGCGAAGCAAAATGGAATAACTCTCCACGAGAATCCGTACGCCGCTGCAGACGCCGATTCAGACTTGGAAGAGGACAGTCATCTAACGAAGGACTCTTCGTCGGAGCAGAGCAACTGCGTTTACGAACAGCCGTTTGACGGCGGCAGGACTGTTCCCGTCCCACAGCGCAGGACCAGCACTTAGCTGAGAGACTCTTGTTTGTCGGAGAGAAGGACGACCAAAAATTTGAACAATTCTACCTCATGGAAAAGGACGCTTTTGCAATAAAGGACTCCTCAAATGTGCAACGAGTGAATGTAACATAGCAGCTGTTTTTATGGACACAGCTTCAGTTGAATTCTAGAGATGATTTTATACATTTTTATATAAATGTTATAATATTTTGTAAATTGTATATAAACAGATTCCATTATTTTTGCTTACCTTTTGTGTATAAGTATTTTGCAGCCTCGTCTATTCAGTTATTTCAGCTTTGAATGAAGCACTGTTTTGCACAAATGTCAATAAAAAAACACCGTTTTGTGTGCTGCTACATTCATCTACGAGCTGTGAGCCTTCACTCGTACGACTGCGGATGTCATGCAGGAGATTTATTTTAGTTTTTAGACAATCTGGTGCTGGTGGTGGTGGGTGTCACATGGTTGCCTTTAAAGGCAGAACCACAAACCGCCAAGGACACTTCAGGACTGTCATCAGTCAGGCCCCCCACCGAGAGAGGAAGAGAAACAGAAATGTTTGAGGATGTGGAAGGGAGAGGATGTTTAACTGTTTGGCATCACAATCTGGTTGAAAAGTAAATACAACTAGAAAAATTGCATTTCCTCGCAGAAAATGCGTGGAGGTGCTGAAAGCTGAAAAAGCAATGCTGAACTGCTAATAAAAGATGGAGGAAGGTATAAATGTAAAAGCTGTTGAAGGGGTGAAAAAGTAGTAGAAGTTGGATAATTGTGAAAATGGTTGAAGGATAAATAGTATGAATATGCTCCATAAATTGGAATTTTATTAATGTTGAAAGAGGAGAGAAAAATGCACAAAGTTTGAATGAAGGAAATTACCTTAAAAGGCCGGAAGGTGAGAAGTGGGATAAGTTTAATTTGTTGTTCTAGTAGTAGTAGTATGATAAGTAGTCATAGTAGTGATATTAGTAATAGTGTAAGCAGTAGAAGTAGTTTTAGAATAGAAGAAGTAATAATAAATAATAATAAATTTTATTTGAAGCACCTTTCACGTCACTCAAGGACATTTTACAAAACATATAAAACAATAATAAAACACTATTAATTAAAATCATCAATCATCAAAACAGTTAAAATCAACAAAGTAACATTAAAACATGAACAACAGCAAAGGAATAAATAAAGAAATTAATAATAGCAATTGAAATTTAATTTAAAAAAAGTGAGTTAGGGGTGGTGGGAGGGATAGGCCAGTTTAAACAGGTGTGTCTTGAGTTTGGACTTGAAGAGGGGGAGGGAGTCTATGTTGCGGATGTGTGATGGTAAAGAGTTCCAGAGTCGGAAGTCAAAGTAGAAGTCAAAGTAGTAGAACTAGTGGTAGAAGTTGTAGTAGCAGCAGTAGAAAATGTAGAAATAGTAGCAATAGTAGTTGAAGTAGAAGTTAAAGTACTAGTTTAATAGTAGTTTCATAGCGCAAATTCCTTAAATCCAGCATAAAAATAACATTGTATGAATCCTGAGACCCTCATGAACACAATGATATATTTTTTATGTTTGTACTCTAAAAAATGTGGCCACAACAGCGAGTTTAAATGCGCTGAGCCTTGAGGATTGTCAGGATCTTCTGGCAGAAAGATTTCATTGCAGTCAACGGGCAGAATCTCTTATATAAGCAGGTCCTATATAAGGTTCGAATCAAGACCTCAGGAGTCCTAGTCGGTCTCCTTATCCCCTGAGCCATGTGGACACACAGGAGAATTCTGCTTTTGTCCTATTTTACTGTCTTTTGTACACACTAGACTTTAAAATTCAACTAAATCTGGATCTGATTAAAATAAAGCCACACAGAGTCAAAACAAAATGAATCTCAAATGAGATTACACACAAGGGCACATCTTTCCCTCTTGGGAGCAATTCTCCTCCTCCTCTCCTCTCCAATCTCCAACCCACCTATTAGAGAGTTTATCAAGTACCTGAAAGGGGAGCTCAAGATCACCTTAAGGATCAGCCGAGGTCAATTTACTCACCGCTGTTGAGTAAAACTGAACACTTACTCACAGCTAAGGAAAATTTCAGGATATCTTTATGGTTCAATTTAAATATATAGCTAACAACCTAAAATGCTTTCTCACAAGGACAATATCAAATTAGTCTCAAACAAACAAACAAAACAGTCATTTTTACACACTGCACAGAGGAAGATGAAAATATAAGAATCATGTCTACCTGCTTCAGCCACAGACGTTTTTGACAACTTTGAGTGATCTAGCTGCTCAGTGCTGACAACATACTAACAGGAGAGTCGAATTTAGAGTGAAACATTTTTTAAACTTGTCTTTTATCGTTCAGTTGCAAGAACTACGATTTTACCCTTAAATTCTCTTTTAAATTCTCCACCATCTTTGCCAAGACAAATTTCTCTTCTTTCTTTCGTCTATAACCCCTGCAGACCACCATCGACTCTTACGATGCTTATTGTTAAACATACTTAATATCACTATTTTGTTCACATTTTAATCCCATATGAAGAGTGTCACAATACAGTCGAGCTTAAACTAGACTCTCTCTGTTTGCCGGATGACTCATTCCCTCTGTCTCCCTCCTTCCCTCCCTCCTTCGTTCCCCCTCCAGCCCTCCTCGCCTGGCGGTTTGTTGTTTTAGGCCTCTCCTCTCCAGCATGAGGGAAAAAGGTGTGCTTGTGCACCGGGCTAGTTGTTGAAACTTGCACTTGGAGAGCGTCTCCTTACCCGCCACAGTGGAGTTATGTTTACAAAATGGCAGATTCATGATAGCGGTGCCAGCAGTTGATTTAGTCTTGCATTTACTCTTCAGAAGAAAAATAAAAAGTCAAAGAATGGGAGCTTTTTTTTTTTTGTTGTAACTATACGCACGCTGAAGCTGTGTTTGGATTCCCACTCTCACTCTGTGTGTATGGAAATGCTGATGATGAGATTTGCTTTCATAAACTGTGTTATTTTATTCCCATCCTTCTGGCTGACTAATGCTTACGTCCACCTGGCTGCTGGCTGCCGCGCCGGTCTCTCTGCCTTTACCCCACTGAAAAGGAATGAGGGGGTTTGTTGGAAGTCTTGCCAGTTCTTTGAGGAGGCTGCGATTAAGACAAGATGGTGAAGCCACACACATCCAAACACCTGGGAAACAGCTGCTGCTGCTTCTGCTGCTGCTGCCGCTGAGGCAACACTCAAAAGACCAGTCCACCTCCGGCTAATAACCTTATCTCAGAGCAGAGCCATGAATGCGTGTCTCAGGATGACGGTCGGATATGTGAGGCCTGGGAGTGATTTACGAGAAACTCAGTGGATTCTGATTGCACTTTGTCGAGCACGTTGTCGGAGTTATTTGTAGGGCTGGCATATTTGGAGAGACATTTTTTATCCTGTCTGAGGCAAAATTATGAATGATGAGATGGTGAAACATGTGAGCAACTTATATGCAGTTTTAACGCAGGTTTGAGTTTCTAGAAACGTCTTAGTAATGTACAAAAACACTGTGTTCACTTTGGTGTGTTTGTCTTGTTGTTGTTGATGATTCAGCGCACACTTGACTTAAATTATGATTTTACTGAAGCTTAAGATACTGTTTTAGAGTTTATGTCTCAAAGGAATTAAAAGTTATGAATGAATAATGAAGGGAGATGGAGTCAGTGTGAAGTGAAGGGGCTGACAGGGCGGAACAGCTCTGTGTTTGTGTTTCTCTTCTGCAAATTTGTACGTTTTTGTAGGGCGTAAGTTGAACCTAACACTTAATAATGTAAGCCTACAAAATAGATTTTTCTTATATGTGAGTTAAATGATTTATTTCAACAATTAAGAGTGATTTGAAGTCATGTTTTGGACACCAGGGACACATTAAGTAATTTGGTCTCCAGCAGGCTAACTCGCTGTTCATTCCCCCACTGTTTTCAACCCTGTTAGTTATTTATACAGTATTATTCTATTTTATCTGCATACGAATCTTACAATTACTTATCAAAACATTTTTAATCTCTTCTGTTCATACTGTCTTCACCGGTTCTCATAGTTTTTGTCCTGTCTTCACCATCGTTTTAATATACGCCCTTCTTTATCATTATTTTATTTTATTTATGTATTCTTTCTCTTTTATCCGTCCTCGTTCCACCTTCTTCTTTTCCATCTTCCTGATGTGCCGTCAACTATCAACTGTCGTCAATTTGTCTATAAATCTGCAAATCTGTGCCTTTTCGCCTCACTCTTTTGGTCTTTGATTAACCTGATTGTTGATTTATTGTCCACTGAGTTCTGCCTGTTTCCTCCTTTATTTTATCTGTTAAAGCACTTTGTAAAGGACTCTTTTTAAAGGTGTTATATAAATACAGTTATTATTATTATTTGCACCAGCTATTTGCTTCCACTGCCCTGTTGTCCATCTTCAACATGGAAAACAAGGTCCCCCTCCCTCCTCTGGCTTATATATTAGGAAAAGTGACCATATGTCCTCTTTTACCCGGACATGTCCTCTTTTTGGGGGGCTGTCTGGGCTGTCCGGCTTTGTCAGGGGAAGTTTATATAATCCTTCAAATGTCTGTGGTCTTGTATGTAAGTTTTGAGTTTGTGTCACGTGGACTTACTGAGTTAGAAGCGCATAAAAGACACTCGATTAACTCTCAAAATTAACTAATGTCCTCTTTTGGAAAGTCAGAATATAGTCACCCTAATATTTGGTCAAATTTCCACCTGGATTGTGTCAAAAAGGAAAAATTAGTGATGGTAGGGACGTGAGAGGATCTGGGCTTCCTAAACTGCCATGCACAAGGTCAGTCACACTCAAGGTCACTTAATTGCAACTGTGGGAAGAAAGTTTCTTCCTCCTCCAGAGTTTAGCAGCAGCTCTAGCGGGTTTTAACTCTCCTCTCAACAATTTGTGCTCCCCTTGATTGTAGGCAAGGTTTTACACTTCACTGAACTATGCATGTTACAATTAAGCGGGTGGATGTAATTCCCCTCAGAATGGTTTATTTACTCCCTAAGCAAAGTCTCGGAAATTGCTGCAACCAAAAAACAATTTGTGGCCTAACAAGTGAGTGACGCGTTGAAGGTTTCCACTTTTGAAAAGAAGCTCTACGTCTAGAAGTCTCCTGCAGAGTCTGCGCTCCCAGTGACAACCTTCGCAATTTCCAGCCAGGGGGGGAAAAAAAGCAAACGCCGGCCAGATTGCAGGATAATTTCCCCTCTTTGATTCTGAGTCCAGAGAAATGAGACAGGAAGTTAATGATTCCTCCAGACCACCGATGACTGGCAGACGACTGATGGAGTCCACCACTCCCCTGCTCTCAGATCAGCGTCTGATCTCCATTTGCTGCCCTGCGTACGCTCACATTAGCAGTCAGACGCTGATCCAGGGTCAGCTCCCCGGGCTATCTCTGCTCCTCACACCCCCAGAGACTGAGCCCGAGAAAATGAATTTAACATGCTGCAGCCTTATCACATCGCCAGACACTCTGAATTTTGTAGCTAATTTGCTTTCATTATTACCAGATGTGGTGACATGCAGACAGATGTTTATGATATTAAATAGCTAAAGGCGACTTGCAGAGATGATTATTCCTGCGTTATGAAGCTCAGGAAATCTGCTGGAGGATTGGTGTCTGACTTTCACGACCACTGAGCTTGTTTTGACATTAGATCTGCTTTGTCAGTGCTGAAATACAGATTTAGAAGATGAGGAGACCCCGGATTTTGTCACACTTACTATCGGGTCTGACTTCCCGGCTGCTGACAGGCATACCCGACAAGATTTGTGCTGTGTCGCCTTCACGAATGGTTCTACTCTGGTTGATCTATTGGGTTTCCTCAAATACGTGACAAACATTTTGATCATTAACAGATTTTCTTGGAGCTTTTTTTTGTGAGAATCTTTTAGCCATATCCAGTCATAGAAACAGCAACCAGCTGAAGCCAAGTTTAGCGAGAAACTACCGAGCTTCAGAAATCCCACGGTCGTATAATATGTTCACAGGAGTTGCCATCAGTGTGAATCCCAGCACGGACTCCATTAAACCCCATCAGACATCTCTTTTCAATCTCCAATCCAGCCACGGCTCTTTGTGTGATTAAAAGCATGCACAAGGGCTTTGCATCTTGCAGATGTTGCCATAAATCACCGTTTGGCCCTGCCTCTGCAACTGGCTGCCTGACAAATGTTCCACAATAACTGCAGCCCCCACCCCACCCTTCCAGTAAAAAGAGAAAAAAGGGTAGAGGAAAAAAAAAAGGGGCCTGGAATTTCTACCCGGCTGCTTGTAACTCTTTCAGGACAATTGTAAAGTCTCAGCCATGTCAGCACAGGTGGAAACCTGAGGGGTCGTAAAACCAGGAAGAAAAAAAAAAAGAAACGCCCGCCTACTCCAGGCTTTCTCTTCCCCAACAATGTCTTAAACTCCCCGCTGTCCCAGCCAGCCCTCCACTGTGACTAATTCCACACAAATCTAAAGGAGCTAAATCAGTCAGGCTGTCTGTGCATCTGTGGACGGCAGTAACTGACATCCCTACGCCTGTAAAAGACACAACCATAATGGCTGAGACGGGGCGGGGCTGTGAATCACAGTCTCCGAGGGCATTGGAGAATCATGCTGTCTGTAGACGCTTTTAAACCTCAGATCTTCACCCTCATGCTGCTGGTTTTAAAACATCTTTCTCTGACTCTGAGAGGAGCAAAAAGCCAATTAGGAAGAGCTTGAACTGAACATGTGAAGTCCAATTTTCTTTTCTGCAGGTTCATCAGCCTCTAGAGATCGACTGACAGACGGATGACAAAGTTTGATGGAAATTGATGAAATGATAAATCCCAAAGCTTTGTTAAAAAAAAAAAAAGGGTTTTGGTGGTTTGGACCTGTCAGGGACTAACATATATGGGGGAAAAGTTTAACTAGACTTTGAGGAGTCCAAGACTTTTAAAGGATTTTTCTTGGAGAGAAAGATGAGAAGATCAAACCACTCCCAAATCTGTCATTAGGTATCAGGCCACAGTCTGGAATTGGATGAATTAAATCAGAGGGAGAGATTAGCTTTGTTCAAAGTCAAAGACCAATTGGCAGAAGTTTTTAATTTGTCATAAATGTGGAAAAATTACGAGGATAAGTTGTTGATAAGTTGAAGTAACTTTGTATAGAGCAGCACCATCAGTCTTTCTGTTTCTGTCTTTACGCTCTCAGGTTTGTTTGTTTTTTCGTTGCTGACCACGATGAGTCACAGCCCTGAGATGTGATTTCATTTCTATCGGTTTAAAGTTGAAAAAGATGCAGGGCAGCGTACTTTGTTTGGCCCATAGACTGTTAAAAACATGGATGTAGTTTCAGTGATGTCACCCCTTTGGTTTCTGGAGCATGGTTTTAAAGCCCAATAATGGTGGTCGCCGCCATATTGGAAATGCTGACTCAACCAGGGAATAGGATGACATAGCGAGACGCCAAGAGGTGGAGCTGAGACGGGTTTTAAGTCTCCTGGCTAACGCTACAACTTCCTCACCAATCAGCCAAGTGGACCAAAAATTGAGAAACTGGTCCAACAGTCCAAAAAGTTGTACTTTTCTTCTGCATGGGTATTTCAGTATGGATGTTTTAATGGGACCCCCTGGACTTTTTAAGGCCAACTTCAAGTGGACCCTCAAGGAAGTGCAGTTTAAGTACTTTGGTTTCATTGCGGTTTCATTTCGTTGCGGTTTCAATGTTCAGTCCCCTTGTAGCTTTGGTTTGAACAAATTCCTCCAGACTTAGGTCCTGCAGTTCAGGAAAAAAGCTTTTACGATTCAGGGTGAGTTTTGTTGTCATAAATCAACACTCAAGCGTGCAGCAGACAAGATAAGGGGGCTCCAACTAGATTGACACAAACCAAAAGTTCTTCACGAGGAGCTTTAAATTAATTTGGGGTCAAAGACACTGTATCACCAACTGCTTGCCTTTCTTGTTATACCAACTTTAGTAACGACCACACAATAGCAATATACAGTGGTCTATAGATACACGCCCACTCTATAGCCACAAATAATGCTCAGAACAGCACCTAACTTCATCAGGAGTACATATAGGGTGCCAGCTATAGCACTAGCCACCAAACATCTTTTTAGCTTTGCCTGGTGTCTTTAGCAGAGAGAGTAAACACAACTCACCTACTCTCTTCTAGCAGGGGGAGCCCTGATGAGTCAATCACAGAGTGCAGCAGATCATTTCCTCAAAGTAATAATCAACATATTAATCATTTTGCACTGTAGACGCGTGGTTCTTCTGCCTTAGTGTTTCAGTCTGATTGCATTTCTATGAAGAAATTGTCATAAATGTTCTTCTTGAGCTGCTTCACCCCACTGCACTCTGTGATTGACTCGTCAGGGCTCCCCAACAAACAAGTGGCTGCTGGAGGAGAGTGGGTGAGTTGTGTTTACGCTCTGTGCTAGTGGCTAGTACTATGGCTGGAACCCTATATGTACTCCTGATGAAGTTAGGTGCTGTTCTGAGCATTATTTGTGGCTATAGAGTGGCGCTTTGGTTGAGGTGTGTACGTGGAGAGGTAGACCACTGTGTATTGCTATGATGCGGTCATTGCTGAAGTTGGTATAACTAGAGAAGCAATCGGTCTGCAACATTCATCTCCTGAGGGGGTGTCTAACAAGGTGTTACGATGTGTTTGACCCTAACTTAAATTTACGCCAGAATATCCCTTTAACTGTAATTGTAACCAAGAGACAGTTGCAGGCTTGTGTAGCTCTATCTCTGAATCAACAATAGTTGAACTTATGTTGGTAAAGTAGCGTCCCTATAAACTTCAGCTGCAATGTTGAGCCACAACAGCATCACACATGGCGTCCATGAGTCTCACTGTGAGCAATCACCCACTTCAGACACCAATACCAACCGTGACGCAGGGTTCATTTGCTTGATTTGTCATTTGATGGATTGTTAGATGAAAAGAAGTTATATATGCACAGCTCTTAGTCGGCTCATTTGGATACAAATGCATTCCCAGTATGTGCATTTGAAGGCTGGTGTTATGCGTGAGGGCGTGCAGTCATCAGAGATTTATGAGCGCAGACACTGACAACAAAGTGCTGCAGGCTAAGCTATTTCCCTGCACCTGGGATATTCAGCCATTCTTCAAATTTACATTTACTGCTTTAGTTCTGTTCCTGTGATTACCCTTTTTTTTAAAGGAATGCACACTGAGATCTGGTTGTAGCACAACATACCATACCATACATACCAATCTGTCAAAGATGCTTAAAAAGAAAGGATTTACTCTTATTATATTTGGGGGGAATAGAAATAACCGAGAAGGTGGTCTGTGGCTTCCACAGTACACATCATTTAGACATCAAAAACTGCCTCTGGTTCCAAAGTTAAGCACCTCAGAAATAATCCCAAACAAATTGCCAATAAAGAGGTAATTGTTGTCTGTGTTCAGCATGAGTCGAACAC